TATATATATATATATATATATATATATATATATATATATATATATATATATATATATATATATATATATATATATATATCTATAATGGTTGGTTGGTATTTATTAGGGTGGCAATTTGAGCCCAAACACATCCAACCCGCCCAACGCACCCAGAGATTGGGCTACAAAATTTTTAGCTCATGGGCCTATTTAGGCTGAGACAAAGTTAACCTATTATATTTTATAGTCCATTCTGACCCATTAAGCAGCCCAAATACAACCCGTGAAACTTACCAAAAACAAAGGGATCTCAACCCAACTTATCTAGAAATTTACTTAATTGCCCTAATTTTACTTTTTTTTTTGTATTTTAAATTTTCTATTTTTTTGTTTTTCGGCACCACCTACCCACCCCTACCCCCTCCACTCCCCCGCAAACCTTCTAATTTTTAAAATTTTTTTTTTGTATTTTTAATTTTCTATTTTTTATTTTTCTGCACCACCCACCCACCCTACCCCCCCTCCCACGCAAACCCTCTCATTTTTTTTACTTTTGTTATGTGTAATTTTTTTTAATTTTCTGTTTTCTATTTTTTCGTTTTCCTGCACCACCCACCCATCCCAATCACCCCCCCCCCCCTAAAAAAACTATTTTTTAACTTACATATTTTAAGGTAAAAGGGTTTTTTATGCAAGATGAGCATGGTTCTAAAACATGGATCAAGTTGAGCGTATCAAATTTTGACGCCGTTGCCGGGGAATACGGTTTTGAAATTACTAATTAGTGTGTGCTTTACTTTACTTCTTCTTCTATTCCACACACCATGCTTGCTTTGCTTGGTGTCACTAGGTAAACATGGAAGAGCCAGAAGAAGTGAATATTTTTGCGGATATAAATTAGTATATTGAGGTTACAAATGCCATTGCCCCTCCAAGAGTTGATGCTGCTAGCTTCAAGGTGGAACACAGTCTAATCTCTAATGCTCAAAACAGAGGGGTTTTTTCGAAATTCCACGGATGATGATCCGACGCTACATCTCAGAAATGTTTTGGGTATGTGTGCGATGCACAAGCAGAATCACGTCTTAGATGATTCCCTAAGGTTGAGGGTGTTCAAATACTCTCTAACCGAAGAGGCAAGACAATGGATCAAAAATCTACCGCCTAATTCCATTCATACTTGGCCTGAACTTTTGTCCGAGATTTCCTAGCAAAGTGGTTTCCACAAAGCAAGAAGTCAGAGCTCCGGGACAAAATTTTCTTTTTCAAGTAATTACCGGGAGAGCATCTACATGAGGCATGGGATCGATTCAAGTTATATTTAGTGAGATCGCTGAATCATGGTTTTCTGGATAATATCTTGTTGGAAAATTTTTACATGGGCTTGGATCCTACGAATCAATGCAAAGCCAAAAATGCAGCTGATGGATCCTTTATGGACAAAACATTTGCAAGGGTCACACAAATCCTTTACAAGATGGCAGAACATAACCAAGCTTGGCACTCGGAAGACACCACGGGTGGAATTGCATATGGTACTCCTTCCTTGACCAACATGCTTAAGGAGAACCAAGAAAGAGATCAAGTTATTGCCGGGCTTGCCACCAATATCAATGCGTTGACGAAGATGTTCATTGAAAGCCAAACAAAAAAGGTGAATGTGGTGGAAGATGTTCAACCCATGTCAAATGAGGATTACGAGGAAGCAAATTATGTCAACAACTCTCAAGGAGGTTATCAAAGGCAACCCTACAAAGGTTCGGAACAACAAAACCAATGGAGGCCTATCCTGCAAGGGCAAGGCAACCAACAGTGGCGAAATGACCAAGGTAGTTCAAATCAAGGAAATTGGTGTAACAACAATACTTTTTCAAATCGGAGTTCCAACCCCTATGTTCCACCAAAGGGGCAATATTCAAACTCTCCACATTGGAAGAAAGTTCTTCGAGTGAGTCCAAGTTGGAAAACATGCTTGAACGAGTATTGCAAAATCCAAATAGATCCGACACTTCAATGAAGAACATGACCGAGCATGTGGGCTCTCATACTGCATCTATTCAAAAGTTAGAGATGCAAATGAGAGATCTCTCAAGAGAGCAAAATCCAAAGCAAAAGGCACACTCCCTAGCGACACAGTTGCAAACACAAAAGGTAGTGGAACGGGCCCAACTTCTCATTGTATGGCAATCACAACTCGAAGTGGGAAACTACTTCAAGTAGAGAATGAACAAGTGGTTGAAGTGGAAGATTCCGAACAAGAAGTCGAGGCACAAGTTGAGGTGCCAATTGTTGTTGAAGTTGAAAGACTCCTGAAGAAGGTGAGAACTCAAGTAGTAAACCATGAATAGATTAAGGAAAAGGTAATAGAGGCACCAAAAACTCTAGCAACAATTCCTACACCTCCGCCTCCTTTCCCTCAAAGACTTGCAAGAAGGGTTGATGATAGAAAACTCGAAAAGTTCTATGACATTCTCAAGCAATTATCGGTAAACATTCCATTTGTGGAAGCATTTCAAGAGATGCCGGGTTTTGCTAAGTACTTGAAGGAATCAATCACAAAAAAGATAACCACCAAGAATGAAGTGCTGAATGTGAATCACTGGGTTAGTTCCATCATTGCAACAACCACGGTCCAAAAGAAAGAGGACCCGGGAGCTTTCATCATTCCATGCACTATTGGGTTGCACAATTTTGCATGAGCCCTTTGTGATAATGGGGCTAGCACCAACTTAATGCCTCTTGCTATTTACAAGAAAGCGGGGTTAGGTATGCCTAGGCCTACAAGTATGAGGTTGTAAATGGCCGACCATTCAATAAAGAGACCGGTGGAAATTGTTGATGAAGTTCTTGTGGAGGTGGGGAATTTCCTCCTCCCTGCCGACTTTGTTATCCTCGATTGTGTTGTTGATAAAGCAATACCTTTCATATTGGGGAGATCATTCCTTGCTACCGGAAGATCACTCACGGATTCGAAACGAAATGAGATCAAGTTCCGAGTTAATGACGAAGAGGTTACCTTTCTAGCGAGTAAGGGTATGAAAATGCCACATGCATACAAAAGTATCTCAGCCAGTGCTGTTGTTGATGAGGTAGAGGATGCAGTCAAGGTAAAGATGGAAGAAGAATGCCTTGGTGAGGCATTGTCGGCTATTTTGGTAAATTTTGATGGTGAAGACATGGAAGGATACATGGAATCGACAAATGCATTGGAAGGGCTTGGGTCCTACACTTACGAACTGAAGAAACTTTCTCTTGACTTAGAAAATAGAGTCACTCCTCCCGCTAAGACTTCAATTATCGGGCCGCCACAACTTGAGCTCAAGCCACTTCCACCGCACTTGTGGTATAAATTTCTTGGCTCTAATGAAACTTTACTTGTAATCGTTTCTTCTTTGTTGAATAATGTGCAGGTTGAACAATTGTTAAATACGTTGAGAGAGCATAGACAAGCCATTGGGTGGAGAATAGAGGACATCCAAGGGATTCCCACTAGTATTTGTGAGCAGAAGATACAATTGGAGCAAGAAAGCAACCTAGCCTGGAGCATCAAAGAAGGTTAAACCATGCAAGAGGTGGTGAAGAAAGAAATCATAAAATGGTTGGTTTCCAGGGTTGTCTACCCCATTGCCGATAGTCCTTGGGTGAGTCTGGTGCAATGTGCGCCAACGAAAGGAGGCATGACCGTGATTCAAAATGACAAAAATGAGCTCATCCCAACGAGGACGGTGACTGGGTGGACAGTTGCATGGACTACCGGAAGCTCAATAGTGCTACTTGCAAGGACCATTTCCCTATGCCTTTTATTGGTCAAATGCTTGACCAGCTAGCGGGAAGGTCATTTTATTGCTTCTTGGATGGTTACTCAGGATACAACCAAATCCACATCGCCTTAGAATATCAAGAGAAGACAAAATTTACATGCCCGTATGGGACTTTTGCTTTTAGCCGGATGCCATTTGGGCTATGCAATGCTCCGGCTACCTTTCACCGATGCATGATGTCAATCTTCTTGGACATGGTGGAGGACTTCTTAGAGGTGTTCATGGATGACTTTTCTGTGGTTGGTGATTCCTTTGAGCATTACCTTGACAACCTTCGGCAAGTGCTCAAAAGATGTGAGGAAACAAACCTTGTGCTCAATTGGGAAAAATGTCACTTTATGGTGGACGAAGGTATCATTCTGGACCACAAAATTTCCAAACAAGGCATAGAGGTTGATCGGGAAAAGATCGAGATCATTTCCAAGCTTCCTCCTCCCACTTCGGTAAAAGGTGTTCGGAGCTTTTTTGGGCAAGCCGATTTTATAGGTGATTTATCAAAGACTTCTCAAAAATTGCAAGTCCCATGTGCAAGCTCCATGAAAAGGATGCGAAATTTGAGTTCGATGAGAAATGCCTCAAAGCTTTTGAGGAATTGAAAGCAAGGCTCACCGCGTCACCTATTGTAGTCACACTTAATTGGTCTCTTCCATTTGAACTCATGTGTGACACTAGTGGTGTAGCCATTGGAGCAATACATGGTCAAAGGCATAAAAAGATTCTTCATCCTGTTTACTATGCAAGCAAGACACTAAATGGCGCACAAATGAATTAAATTGTGATGGAGCAAGAACTGCTTGCTATTGTCTATGCTTTTGAATAATTCCAGGTCTATTTGTTAGATTCCAAAGTAATAGTCTACACCGATCATGCTACTCTCCGCTACCTTAAGGAAGAAGGATGATAAACCAAGATTGATTAGGTGGGTTCTTTTGTTACAAAAGAGTTTGACTTTGAAGTCAAAGATCGGAAAGGAACAGAGAATCAAGTTGCGGATCATTTATCTAGGCTTGACGAAGCAGGGAGACCAAAGGAAGATCTTGAAATTGATGATTCCTTCTCAGATGAACACATATTAGCATTGTCTAGCACCTTCACTCCTTGGTATGCCGACATCTCTAACTTGGTTAGTGACCTTATCCCTGATTGATTGGATGCTTATCAAAAGAAGAAGTTCTTGCGGGAGTGTAGGCAACATTATTGGGAGGAACCCTTTTTGTTCCGGATTTGCGCCGACAACATCATTTGGTGTTGTGTTCCGGAAGATGAGGTAATGCGAATTCTCAAAGCATGTCATGATTCCCCAGTTGGGGGCCATCATGGTGGAAATTGTACTACGGCAAAAGTGCTTGAATGTGGCTATTATTGGCCATCGATCTACTAAGATGCAAACCAAATGGTCAAGGCTTGTGATCAATGTCAGAGACAATGGTCAATTTCTAGAAGACATGAAATGCCTATGAACTTTGTGATGGAGGTCGAGATCTTTGATGTGTGGGGGATAGATTTTATGGGTCCCTTCGTAAGCTCTTACAGCATCACACATATCTTGGTGGCAGTAAATTATGTCTCTAAATGGGTCGAGGCAATTGCTTGGCCGAACAATGAGGTAAGGAGTGTAACCACTTTCTTGAAGAAGAACATATTTACGTGGTTTGGAACCCCAAGGGCCATCCCTAGTGATGGTGGTTCTCAATTTTTCAACAAAACTTTTGCTGGGCTACTCAAAAATTGTGGAGTTAAGCACAAGGTGGCCACCCCTTATCATCCGCAGTCGAGCGGTTAGGTTGAAGCTTCCAACAGAGAGATCAAAAACAACCAAGCAAAAACTGTGAATGCAAACAGGACTGACTGGTCAAAGAATCTAGATGATGCATTGTGGGCATATCGAACAGCATTCAAGACTCCCATTGGCACCTCACCATACCGACTGGTTTTTAGTAAGGCATGTCACTTACCGGTTGAGCTTGAACACAAAGCTATGTGGGCATTGAAAAAGTTAAATCTTGACTGGGCCGAAGCTGCTAATCTAAGGATGACCCAATTCAACGAGATGGAAGAATTCCGTTTTCATGCCTATGAGAACGCAACCTTATATAAGGAAAGGATGAAGTTTGTTCATGACAAGAAGATTTTGAAGCGGGAATTCAAATATGGTGACTTGGTCTTACTCTTCAACTCAAGGCCGAAGCTGTTTCCGGGCAAACTCAAATCCAAATGGTTTGGCCCATGCAAAGTTGTGAATGTGTCTGGCTATGGTGCCATTGAATTGGAATCCGAGGACAAGACTCAAACTTTCAAAGTAAATGGCCAAAGGGTCAAGCATTACCTCGGAACCAGTGGAGAAAGGCACTTGGTGGAACAATACGCACTCATGGACGGTCCTACACCAACCCCCACCAATGTTTAGCCAAAATGGGGGCCACATCATCGTGCCGTGACATTAAATCAAGCACTTCTTGGGAGGCAGCGCATGTATGGTAACACTTTTTGGTTAGATTTTAATTTCGAGAAGTTTAATTGTAAGTGTTGAGTAGTTTGACGTGTGTGTTAGAATGCAGGTGACCCAAATACAATGAAACAGGATGCAAGGGCAGAGAAAAATGATGGAAAGCAAAACCTAAGTTCTGCGGCAACATATGCGGCCACATAATGGATTTGCGGACTGCATAATTATCACAGACACAGGCAGATAAAAATGTTATCTGAGCATTCACAAATGTGGTGAGAATTTGCTTACTGTGGCCCGTATAAGGATTATGCGACCGCAGAACCTATCGTAAAGCTAGTTTACAATACTATGTCACTAACCCATTGCATAACACATATACGGTTGCATGATGTGTTATGCGATGGGTTGCCTCAATGCGAACCTCTCAGGTATTTAGCCCTAACTCCCTCCGTCATTTTCACCATTCTTTGGCACTCCCACACACACAGGCACACTGCACAACACAAAAGAAAAGATAAAAACAACCAAAAACATTGAAACAATAACACAAAAAAGAAAAATAAAAAAGGAATTGAAAAGGAAGGGCTTACCTTGCTCGTGCTTCAGACCAACATCGCCCAATCATCTTGATATCTGTTGTGTTCAGTTCCACCCTCTTTCTTGCTTAATCAATTGAAAACTGCCACGCGCTATCAATGCTATCTTATTTATCCCAACTTCTTGCTATTGGTAATCCCTCGTGAGTGATTTTACTACACATTTAAGTTGGGGCTACCGTGGGTAATCGAGGTTTGGGGATTTGATTTGGAAAGTAGGAGTAAATAAAAAGTGATAGAATATAAGGGTCCACCAAACACTATAGAGAACCAGGTTCTCTATCAGTTCTACTAGAACACACGCATATTACAGTAAGTAAATGATAAGAGGAATTTTACGTGGAAAATTCCCAGCTCAACAGGATAAAAAACCACGACCTACCCGTGTACGATTTCAACTTCACTACTGAGCAACTTTTATATTACAACCTATCCAACATAGGAATTAACCTTTTAATCCCTCACTGATTTGTAATACTCTATTACAAGCCACTTTGTAATAACTCTATTATAAAGACTTTATAACTTGACTAACTCTAGCCAAGCCTAACACACAGGTTTAAGGTTTACAAAGGGGTTCCTATAGAATGCTTCTAAACAAGCTAAGTAGCAAATACAATTGAAGAACTATTACAAAGTTACAACTCAACTAAGGACATGTAATAACTCGATGTGCGAACTGGTCTGTAGTTGTTTTGTTCTCTGTTCTTGAAGCACTTGAGAGTTGCTTGTTGGATGATCACGTGAGTGAGCTGGAGTGAAATCTCTAAGTGTTCAAGTGAATGTGTTTTACCTCCCTCGATGTTAATAATATATGCGTGACCTAACATGGAATGACGTAACCAAGGTAGGTAAAAAGCCTTCCATAGAAAGTTGATTGCTGCATTGTTCCTGTACTATAGCGTGTGCAGGCAACAACTTTCTAGTTGGAGAGTTGACTTCGTACAGTCACCTTGGGAACTGGAAGGGACTTGTTCCCTCGGCTGTTCCTTCCACTTTAAAGAGTTGAATCGTATCCCAAACTGGATCCCAACCTGGAACCTGGTGATCTTATGGTCTTGAAAATATGTAACAGCTTCTTTTTCTGGTTCTGGATAGTATGTTTGTTAAATCATCAAACATAAAACAAAGTACTTGTAACCTATCAATTTCCCCCCTTTTTGATGATGACGAACTCATAATTGAAAATCCATAAAGAGCCACATAGAACCAGACAGCGAACCTGAAAGACCTTATGTTTCCCCCTAAATTTTTTCATTACCCCTTAATTTGTACCTGAACCTCATTGATTCCCCCTGAATATGTATTTCTCCCCCTTCAGATTTTTATTCATTTATGCTCTTTATTATTCAATTAAATCTTCTCCCTTTTGGTATCATAAAAAGCACATAACAAGTAAGAGGCATAAAAAAGTCTAGCGTGGTTAACTCATGCCACTTGTGTGCACACAACATAATAGAAAACAGAGACAAAAGAGCATTAGCATAAACATCAAAAGGAAACCACTTGCATTAACCAAATTTGGACCTTTACAGGTGGGAGCAGAATCATTGTTATCAACCATAATTTTAAAACAAACAAAAACAATTACCAGAAACAAAAAAAAAAACATCACCAAAAACAACTAAGAAGATGGACACTGGAAACTTGACACTGAGGGGACAATTACCAGAAACAAAAAAAAAATCACCAAAAACAACTAAGAAGATGGACACTGGAAACTTGACACTGAGGAGACATCCTTTAGGGGACACTAGAGGAAGGGGGCTTGGAAGAGGAAGCAAGGGTTTGGAGGACAAGATCCATGCGAGCATTTGCGGACATTTGCTGATTGAGTAGTCTTTCTTTCTGGTCTTCCACCTATTTCCTAAGCTCAGCGTGCAACCTCTGAGCTGTGAGAACTACTAGAACTAGGTGCCTCTTGTAACTGACTGAGCTGGCTCTCGAGAATCGCGTTCCTAGCCTTCAACATCCGGATCTTCTCAGTGGCACCATTCTGAGCATTTATCAGTTGAGAGATAGTGGAAGTCCTTCCAACTCCTCCTAACTTGTCAATACACTCACACTCCTCGAGAGTGCTTTTTGGAAAGGATTTCTTTTTAGTGCCGACTTTGGCCTGTCCAAGAGGTACATTGAAGAACTCAAAGACCTTCATGAGAAAAAACCATAAGGTAGCTCAAGATTCCCATCCTTAAGGTTTGCCACCTTCTGCATATGCTCAATTATTATGCTAGGCAGATTGATGGTGGTAAAATTATCCAAGGCTTCCATAGGGAAAAAGTCATCTTTGGATGCAATAGATCTTCTCTCAGCGCAGGGAAGCAACACTTTGTTAACCATCTCAAAGAGCAACTGATATACTGGAAGGAGTGCCTTCTTATGCACCTGTTCCCCATGCTGGATTGCCTTGTCCTTGACAATGGCATTTCTGAAGTTTGACGTGCAAGCACCCTGAACAGATGACAGTCATTCGATAGGAACACCCAGAATTGACCCCAATAAGGCATAGTCCATCACTATGTCCACCCTATTTATCAACACACAAATTTGATCACCCTCTATTGTGAAGAGGTTGGTATAAAAACTCCGTACCTCCTCCTCATACACTTTGGTAACCTCATCCACATTTACCACATGGATGACTTTTTCATGCACAATTATTCCATCCTTTACCAGCCTTCTCTTTTTCTTACTCCTTATAATTTTCTTGAGGGTAGACTCCAAAGCCTCGATTTTTTGCAACTGTTTAGTGGGTCGCTTAGGGATTGGCTCCGGAGTTGCAACTGGCTTACTCCTGCCCTAATAAAACTAGCAATCACCAAATCATCTGCGTCATCTTCACTATCAGACTTCATTTTAGGCACCACCATATTCAGAGGCTCTGCATAGAAGTGGGGAGAAGGGGAAGGATCACCACTAGCCTGGGGAGATGACCCCTGACCTGGATCCTCCGCGGAGGGATCAGGTTCATCACTTGGGACCCTAGTAGTGTCATCTTGATTCGATTGTTGAAAAGGAACAAGTGCTCCCCAGTCTTCTATGGACTGAGGTTCTTCCCCTTAAGACTCAGACACTCCTCCACCTTCCTCTACAACAACCCCTTCTGAAGCAATGGAAATCATATTTTCTATTCCTTCCTTTTCTTATGGTCCTATGGAAATTTCAACAGAAGGAGGACTGATACCTGTAGAATCGCCGCCTGTCATGGTTGTCTCAGTCTTTTCCTGACTAATCACTGGATTTTCACTAGAGTGCCCAACCATGGAGAGAGTTGATGTTTCCTGAACAAGGTTCCCTTGTTTACCCTGTTCACCCTGTTCACTCTGTTTTTCTGGTGAGACTAGAGGAGGACATATTATCTCAAACTTGCTCAGATACGGAACAGAATCAAAGTGGGTAGGAGAGGGAGTGGAGTGTGGAGGAGACTCTGCTTTAGGGTTTAGACTAGTGATTTTGTTGGGGAGGAGTCTACCGCAGGAATGCTAACTGGTATGGATTCAGTGACATTATTGTCGGGTACACTGGAGGTTGCTTGATTTTTAGACATGATGAAATTGTACTCGAAGGGTTTGTGGATTGAGAAGAGAGAAGGCCAAGAGGAGGTTTTGAATTTGAAAGTGAAGGGTTGTGATTGATTTATTTATGATGAGGGACCAGTTCTGAAACGACCGCAAAATTTTTCTTGGGGAGTTGTATCATTCAGAAAAGGTGTAACGCTTTGGATGAAAAGACACAACTTAAAGAGACTGTGACATTGATAATGTGGCATTGTTTTTGTCCATTAAATTGTGTTTGAAAGAACTAAGAAGCTACTAACCTGTATCAAGAAAACCAGGTTTCCTGACAGGTATGGCAAGTGAGTTTAACCCTTTTTTCCAGCATGCACTGCAACAGCTGCTCTGTTGTCATCATACGTGTCTACCTGTAACAGTATAGAGGTGAGTTAGACTTGGCAAGAAAATTCTTTAGCTAACTTTTACCTGTGTACGACTTTCATAACCAATCATGAAGAACCAGGTCCTCTGTTGGGTTTTATATTCCCAAGTGCAAGGTGATTTATCTCAGAATGTTTTCTTCTCAGGACTTTGGTGAAGATGCCAGCAACTTGATCTTCAGCAATCAATGTATTTGGCCTTCTTGAGTTGGACTGTTTTAGTCATGATTGTGAGCACTTGTATTATCGCACAATAGTAGTACACGTTCAGCGTATACCTCAAGGTCTTCCAATTTGCTGCTTGATCCACAATATTTGAGCACAGCAGGAGGCAGCTGCTACATATTCTGCTTCAGCTGTTGAGAATGCCATTAAATTTTGCTACCTTGAACCTCATGAGACAAGACAGGAATCCCAGAGAATGTCCC